CCCCTCCTCCCCCCCCCCCGCTTTTACAATGGCAGAACCGCAGCATGTAAAAAACCATTTTTTTTCTTTTTACACTAGCCATCTAATAATCTATTATAATATCTTGCGAGGATTCTGACACCCACTTACTGACTTGGGTCAATCACAAACTCTAGTGTTGCAAAGAGTCATCATCAAATATATCTGGAGATGCTGGCAATAGATTCTACACATACACACATATGCATATAGAGAGAAATACAGATATACACCTACAAATGTATGTAGAAAACCTATTTCTATTTCAGCCTCCAAAGTGTCTCAGAAGTGGGTATGGTCAAACTTTTGGGTCAAATTTTAGAGGGGTGGGGGGCTTTAACAGATTTAATGGTGCCCAAAGCCTCTGCAAGATTTAAAGCACTGGTTTTTCCCATTAAATTCCTCAGCTCCAAATGAGAAAGGGAAGAAAATACTGTTTACAACCACTCTGGTGACATCACAATACAGGGAGTCCTCACTTACTGACCACAATTGGGATTGGCAACATCATCATTAAGCATCACAGCCTTTAAGCATCATGTCACATGACTGTGTTAACTTACATCAGTTCCATCTGCAGTTGTTAAGTGGATCACCGTGGATCATTAAGCATAATGTCACACGACTGGGACTTGCAACTTCCTGCCTGCTACCCCATTGATTTTGTTTGCCAGAAGCCAGCTGTGAAGATTGTAAATGGTGACCACGTGACTGTGGGCCACTTTGAGGACTGTTGGTACGTCCCCTTTTTCTGCGCCTTCCTAACTTTGAAAGGTCACTGAAGAAGGGGTAACCAAGGACTATCTATAACACTGAACATCCCAAATGATCCTCAGTAGACATTAAAAAAGAAGTGCTGGATTAAGCAGAATTCAACCTGGTTAATACATGGATGGGAGACCACTAGGAAATCCCGTTTCTTTCCTGGACTTGGAAGAAAGAAAAAAATTCGAGAGGACAGTAATGGCAGATCAGTCCCATATTGTTGCCAAACAAACAACATGTCCATAAAATCACAAGGAGTCAACTATAACCCGAAGAAGACTCTTTGACTCTCCCAAACACCAGAAAATTCCTTGCACCAGTTTTAAAGCCTGCAGCACCCGAGGAATAAGATTTGGGGAGGGAAGGAAAATGGAGCAGTCGACATTTTTCAGCATAGCTGCTCATCAGATTCTGCACCGTGGAGGAGACAACGCAGCCCCGCTTGCTCCCCGCCTCTCCTCCGACCTCTCCTTCACTCACCCGCCAGCCGCTCCTTCGACCTCTGAACAAACGGAGAGGGGTCCGCAC